CTATAGTCGAGACTGCTCGACTACGAGGTCCCCTGAACCCTTGGAGCAATAGCTATTTCAATAATTTTTCGCGTCTTTCAGAAACAAGAAACACACACACACTCACGCACGCATACACACACATACACACACACACACACACGCATACACACACACGCATACACACACACACATACACAAACACATACACATACACACACAAGCACCCACGCATAAACTCACTGACTTTGGTGAGTTGCTAAGGCTTAGCAAAGACAGCAACCTAACATCTGGAGTGAAGACGCAGTTACGAAAAGTAGTGCATACTTTCGGGCTATTGCTTTAGTTAAGCAGAGTTTAAGATACTGCGGTCTGTAAACTCAAATTATATTAGTAGCCATTGCCCACTACAGGCTTCACGTCGTTGTAGTCGGAGCAAAAAATGGATGCCAGGATGGAGGACGAGCTGCAAGCTTTCGTGCGTCGTTCCTCGTTGCAGCGATCACCGCAGCAACAACAGAGGGCGCTGCCGCAGCCGTCGACCTTTAATCAGTCCCCAGTGGCTGAGTGCCAGGCACCCAGCTCACTAAAAGAAGCGTTATCCCAAATTGGAGTTATGCTAGACGGCTTGACTGCCATATTTGGGGGTCAGCGGCATATTAATGCCCTAATGAGAGAGGAGCTGGCTAGGCTGGTAAATCTCCATAAGACGGCCGAAAAGCTCTGCAACCGACCGGTTAAAAACTGCGAGGTGCAGACCATGCGAGCACTAGCGCGATCTCAGTTAGCAATACGCCCAAGCGGTCGAAGGAAGTTGCCACCGATCAGAGGAAAACACCCTCAGAAAAGCCGAGGCCCAATAAAGGCGCAGCGAACCCAAAAGAACCAATGGCTCTACGGGCTACAGCTGAAAATTCAAATCAGGCAGGTCGACAGACAAACCCGAACAGCTGGACAGTCGTTAAAGGACGCAAGCCCATGCAAAAACGACCCAGAAGTGACGCAATCGCGATTTCAGGCCTGAGTGGTTGCAGCTATGCGGACATGCTTCGTGTAGTCAAGACCGACCCAAATCTAAAGCATCTGAGCGGCGACGTTCAAGGCATTAGGAAGACAGCTAAGGGGCACCTTTTGTTGCAACTGAGCAGAAAGCCGGAGCATAGCGCTGAGGCCCTTCACGAAGTTGTAGGCAAGGCCTTGGGTGACCGAGCGGTAGTTAAAACACTTACCGAATCGGCTCAAATTGAGATTCGTGACCTAGATGAGTTAGCGAGCAAAGAAGAGATCTTGGAGGCAATTAGGGCGGAGTTGGATAGCTCACTCCCCATTGAGGCTATCAAGACGCTTCGACCGGCTTTTGGTGGACAGCAAAGAGCTACAGTTGCTCTTCCAATTGGAAATGCCAAAACTCTGCTCGAGCTGTCCAAAATCAGAATTGGATGGGTTGTATTCCGTAACCGCGCCGTGGATCAGCCTAAACGCTGTTTCCCATCCTACCGCGAGGCTGCTCGTAAAATGAAATGTTAAGGTTCCTTCAGCTTAACTTAAATCATTGTGTTGCTGCCCAAGATCTTCTAGAGCAGACCATAGGGGAAAAATGTATAGACGTAGCATTTCTCAGCGAGCCTCACCACTGTAGAACCAGCTGCCCTAGGACATGGGCAACAGATGCTAATGGCAAAGCGGTGTTGTGGGTATGTGGCAACACAAAGAATGTTCGTTCGAATGTTAAGTCATTTAATGGGTTCGTACGTGGCCAATACGGTAGCCTATGGCTCTACAGCTGCTACCTGGCCCCCAGAATGCAGCTCAGTGATTTCACAGCGGCGCTTGACGAGCTTGCCGAGGATGCTAGGGGTCGGAAGGCCATTATAGCAGGAGATTTTAACTCCTGGGCGTTAGAATGGGGTAGCTACACAACAAATGTCAGAGGCCGTATCTTACTGGAGATTTTCGCGACACTAGATGTTGCACTGCTCAACACTGGCCACGAGTTCAACTTCAGTCGGGCTGGATACGGATCTGTAATTGACATTACTTTTGTCACTTCATCCCTCGTTCGGGAAGCAACATGGAGCCACTGCGATAGCTATACGGGCAGCGATCATACGGCACTTCTGTTCACAATAGGTGAGCCACCTGCCAGGGCGTCAACCTTGTGGAGGGAATCGTATCGCCTGGATACTTTAATCCCGCGGCTTTTTCAGAGGCCATTCAGTCTCTGGGCACAATTGGTAATGCTGAGGCCAGAGCATGCCAAATGGTGGCCCAAATACAGAGTGCCTGCAATAGCAGCATGTTACGCCGCAAGCAGTTCACGCGACAACAAGAGCCTACGTATTGGTGGAATGCACAAATACGGGCTCGGGGTAGGTCTCCGTTTTTCGAAAAAACAATTAGCTTACCAGGCAGCTAGAAGTCAGTTGAAGAAGGCCATTCGGGCAAGCAAAAGATAAAGCTTTCTAGAGCTGTGCGACTCAGCCGAATATGACCCTTGGGGCAGGGCATATAAGATAGTAGTTAAAAGGCTATACGCAGGTAAACAGGTGCAGCCGACGGATCGTCTGGAGCTTAAATCGATTGTGGAAACGCTCTTTCCAGAAAGATTAAGCTCCATTCATGCCCCAGAGTCCGAGTCTGCTAATCAAGGCTCAACGAGCACTCAAATTGTTTTAGTTACAGACGAAGAAATCCTAGTAGCTCTCAGAGGTCTTAGAACCAACACAGCTCCAGGGCCGGACGGGATCCCAAATCGTGCGCTAAAGCTAGTCCTAGCCTTGCACCCTAGTGCGTTCGCCGAATTATTCAACGAATGCTTACTACAAGAGACGTTCCCTACAAAATGGAAGACCCAGAACCTGGTATTGCTACCCAAGGCTGGCAAACCACCAGACGAGCCATCTTCATACAGACCGATCTGTCTCTTAGACACCATGGGAAAGGTGTTTGAGAAATTGATCTGCTCTAGACTAGAGACTGCTATTGCTAGCGCCGGAGGCCTATCACCATATCAATTTGGATTCCGGAAGGCCCGGTCAACAACGGATGCTCTAGAAAAAGTTGTTGGCCTGGCAACTTCCGCCATCCAAGGCACCAGATGGAGGCACGGGACGAAGCAATACTGCATCATCGCGACCCTGAACGTTAAGAACGCCTTCAACACAGCTAGTTGGGATATGATACTGAATGCGCTGTCACAATATAATATCCCTAAATATCTAAAAAAGATAATAAAGAGCTACTTCAGAGGACGAACACTGGTATACAACACGAGTGAGGGTCCCCAAACTCATACAGTGTCAGCTGGAGTACCCCAAGGCTCAGTGCTGGGGCCTCTCCTATGGAATATCATGTACGACGGCGTACTGCGTTTGGAAGTACCAGCAGGTGCGCACACCATTGGCTTTGCTGATGATGTGGCTGTCGTCGCCATAGGCAAAGAGCTTAAAGATACAGAGGATATGTGCAGTGAAAGTATAAATCGCATTCGAAGCTGACTGACAGGAGCTGGACTCGAGCTTGCGGTGCACCAGACGGAAGTCGTCCTAGTAATCAGCCGCAAAAAAGTGGAGACTGCCAATATAAGGATAGGCAGCGTCACCATCGCGTCAAAGAGGGCGATTAAGTATCTTGGCGTCATGTTAGACACAAGATTAACTTTCCGCGAACACTTAGAATATGTGCGTAAAAAGACAGCTGATTCTTGTAGGGCTCTCTCAAGAATTATGCTTAACACGCGGGGACCTAAACAGCAACGACGTCTTCTTCCACTGAGCGTCATTAGGTCTGTCATCTTCTATGCTGCGCCAATATGGTCAAGAACGATGGCAACGCCGAGCTACAGCCGGGGCATTTGCGCGATATACAGACTGAGCGCAATCAGAGTCAGCTGCGCTTTCAGGACTATCTCTGATGATGCGGCGCTTGTCATAGCCGGCATGGTGCCACTGGAGTACCTGGTCGCCGAAGCCGTGGAGCGGAATTCGCACGCGCCTGTGCGACACAACGCTATCAGGGCGAACAGCATTGCACGATGGCAAAGGAAGTAGAATAGCTCAGCTAAAGGGCGGTGGACGCACAAGCTCATCCCGGAGCTCGAACCATGGGTTAACCGCAAACACGGCGAGGGTAACTTCTATATTTCGCAGATCCTCTCGAGCCATGGATGCTTTCGGAGCTATTTGAAGCGCTTTGGTCACGAGGAAACTGACGAGTGCCCCTGGTGCGGGCGAGGGCATGTGGAAGACGCTAACCACATCCTTTTCGCATGTGGACGGTTCCTGGAGGAGAGGCGTCGTCTAGAAGAGGCATTGGGCCGCTCCATCAGAGCGGACAACATAGTCAACGCCATGCTGGAATCGGAGGAAGCTTGGGAACTAACAAGCACCTTCGCGGCCACAGTGATGATGGAGCTCCGCAGAGTCGAGCGAATGAGAAGACGAGCTGTACCAGGCTAAGGTAGCGTATAGTGCTTGCGAAGCAATGCTTTACGGCCGTTCCGCAAGCATCGCGCGCTATCCGAGCCACCACTCAACTTGCAACTTGTAGTATAATAAGATTGTAAATAAACGAATATAAAAAAATTAAAAAAACAAAAAAACACGCATAAACACGCATGGGCTGCAGTGTGCGCTTACTATGAGAACTTAATTGTTTAATAACTTTTTTAAAATTCACCCCCAACCCTTATATCCACCCCTCACTCATATACATATGTATGTATTTGTAAAAGGCCTATTTCAAATACTAGAGACTTGTGCTTTGGCAAATGCACGCATTTCATGGAGATAGTCCATCGACAAGAAAACTTATTAAACAATTAAGTTCCCATAGTAAGCGCAGTCCATGAGTGTTTATGCGTGCATGCTTATGTGTGTGTGTCTTGTGTAAGCAGAAAGGCGCGAATAATTATTGGAATATCAATTCTTAGAAGGGTTCAGGGGATTTCGAAGTCGTTCAGTCTCGACTACAGCTTTCTTAGTTATTTTTATTGTGTTCAATAATTTGATCGACTAGCGCTATAACACTAAAATAGTTGAATTTTTATTTAAGTAGGCAAACGACAATTCAGTTGCTACAACAAGTTTAAGTTAGAGATAGAGATCTATATGACAAATTTCACAATTTTATTTAATTAGTTAAGTGACCATTTATTCCAACGCCTCTAGTTTCGCCTCCTGTGCCACATCTATTTGCGGTACAGCCGCAGGCAGCAATAAAAACTCGTTGAACAGAAAGTCGGCGTCCATGGACTGCGTTTTGCCGTGATAGCCACGCACAATTCCCCTCTTGGGGGGCTCAATAAAGCGTTCCTTCACAATTAAGGCGCCGGAATGTGGTGCTGCCATAGTCACCGAAGTATTTGGAGTCGATGTACTACATCCAGCATCCAAGTCCAAAGAACAGCAAACGGACAGTGCATTGGGCAACGGATTATAATTGGCCGGGCCAGCTTTGTAACAGCCGCCTGTTGGTATTTCTTGTCGTTCTTTTAAGAGTGTGGCATTGGGCTTATGTTTCGGAGAGCCATAAGTGAGAGAGCCATAGCCGGAGCCGGCTCCACCACTACTTTTCAAGTTGAGACAGCTTTGTGTATGCGAAACATTCGCATAATCATCCTTAGTGCTTACCAATGGTACACGTTTTAGTGTGTTACTCTCAAAAGGGAAATTAGAATTGGAAGTGGACTGCGTTAAATTTTCAAATTTACGTAGGCGCGCATCCTGGCGTAGTTGCTGTGCTGCCGCCGGCAAGTTGATCGATGCATGCAGTACGCTGGCTTCCACACTGGTGCCAGCACCTTCAAACAAACTGATCTGCTTCTGAATGCGGGGGGAAATTGGATCGTGAGCACGTCTTGCGCTTTGCCGATTGTGCTCCTGTGATGCCTGGGTAATGTGCACAGGCATTGCAAAGCGGAATATTGGATCATCCATGGCCACATCGGGTGGCATAACAGAATGCGTCGGACAGCAGAAGCATGTCTCCAATTTTGGCTCCAAGTCGATGGGCAGCGAAGGTATCGTTGCTGCTGACAGTGTTGCTTCATCATCATCAAATCCCTGCAAGAGGTAATATAATTTTGTAATAAGCAAGAGTGCTTTAGAAATACCCGACAACAGATATCTTGCAGGAACCTGTTCTATTAATCATTCTAAGAATCATAAATACTGGCACACACACATTCGCACATACGCACATATACATTCACTTTCGTGAATGAGTATAACAATTTACGCATTCTCATTACCCGCTGGTCCGGGCATATGCCTAAACAGATGATTAAATATATATATGTACATACATATGTACATTCACATGTACGTATTTACATATATATTATTTAACAAGGTATTAATGCGCAGATCATATATGTATGTATACATTAGCATTTTTGGACAAAATAGTAAAAATAGTAAATATTTAAAAAAAAAGTACGTGTGTATGCCTGTGTGTGTGCGTTTCTTGCGTAAGTAGAAAGACGCGAAGAATTATTGAAATAGAAATTGTGCGAAGAGTTCTGGGGATCTCGTAGTCGAGCAATGTCGACCAGAGCTTTCTTACTTTTTATAAGCTAATATTTTGTTCTTCTTAAATAACCCCCAAATGCATCAAAAGTATGCAGTTAGGTTACCGTTAGCTCGTTCTAAGAACTGGCTTAAAATGAGGAGTCTACGCCTATTAGTGGCGTGGCAAATCGGGAAAAACTGAATTTTCTATAGTATTAGAGCTAGACTTACTATATTGCTGATGGGATGTGAGTGGCATTTCGCAGTTGGTAACGTCCGACTGCAACGTTCTTACTTGTTTTTATACCCTGACTCCATTGAAAATGGGAAATCAGGATATAATGGTTATGTTGATATGTATGTCACAGAGAGAAGGAGGCGTGGCAGACCCCACAAAGTATATATATTCTTGATCATGGTGACGAGCTGAGTCGATATGGCCCTGTCCGTATGAACGCGTCGAGCCTTTTTTTTAAATGTCTACAGTCTCCAAATTTTTAATGTAGATTTATATGCTTATTATACAATTTCGGTTTTTGTTAAAATTCACCGCCAACTCTTATATCCATCCCTCACTCATATATTTGTAAAAGGCCTATTTCAAATACTAGAGACTTGTGCTTTGGCAAATGCACGCATTTCAATGTCACGATCTACAAGTTTCATGGAGATCCATCGACAAGAAAAGTGAATAATTATTGGAATATCAATTCTTATAAGGGTTCATGGTCGAGGAGTCTCAACTAGAGCTTTCTTACTTGTTCTTTATAGAATCATAACATTAGCTTACGTGCAAAAAAAATTTCAACTAGAATGTTGCTGTGAAACTCTTGGAGATACATCCAATTTGCCACGGCCCCAATGGGCGTAGATATATCCGCATTAGCTCGTGATCTTGGGTGGTCGACGCGGATCTACATATTAAATTTCTGCTTTCTAGCTCTTCAACTAATATGATTACTGGCATATCGAAAAATACACTTTCACATTTTCCCACGGTCATAGTGGGCGGATCGGGAAAAGTTTATATCATAGCTCGCAAATAACTGTTAACACTTTTTCGTTGTCTGCAAAAAAGTGTCTTTCAGTGACACAGTCAAAAAAACTCAGACAGAAACTGTTTTTGTCGCGTCTGGCTTAGCTCTCTCGCGCTCTGAGGGAGATAGTTGTTTCTGTTTTCGTTTCCTCAAGTCAAACACTGATCGTTTGCTTGAGTTAAATGAAGTAACGGTAAGTTGCGTTTGTATGGGTAATCACGCGCGATTGCTGCGTTCTTTTTGTATGTATGTATGCGTGTATTTACATGCACACGAAGGCAAAAACATTTTCTGCTGAGTTTGTTAGTCAAAGTGTTTTTTGCTGAGAGTCTTTGTGTGAGGGAAAATCGTGTTAGTTTTACGCGACACTCATGTGAGAGCGTCACACGAATGAGTGATCGCATTGCGTCTGAGCGAAACAGATGCTAAAGAAAACAGAGAGTGACGCTCAGAGAGAGACGTGTCTGCACAATTTTTTTTGGTTATGATGCGAGAAAGAGAATAAACGAAAAAACGCTCAACTCTCATTTGCAAGCTCTGGTTTATATTATAATCGAAGATATACACGAGTATGTGTGTCCAAATTTCAATTCTCTAGCTTCAATAACGCCGAAAATAATTCATACAGAAAGACGGACAGATGGACGGACGGACCGACGGACAATATGCTCATTTCACTTTCCTGAATGAGTATTACAAGTAAGAAGGCTCTATTCGAGACTGCTCGACTAGGAGATACCCTGAACCCTCCAAGCTGATATTCTAATCATTCTGCACTTCTTTTATGCACACATGCATACACACGCATCGTACGTATAATCACGCGCTCTGCTAACTAGTGATGTAAATTTGAATGAAAACATCGATGTCGATGTCCATCAATGTTTTCAAAATCAAGCATCAATGCTGGATTAATACATCGGATTGAAATTTCGATGCATCGATGTATTTTTATTTATTTTTTTATACCCTGAACCCATTTTCAATGGGAAATCAGAGTATAATGGTTTTGTTGAAATGTATGAAACAGGCAGAAAGAGGCGTGGCAGACCCCATAAAGTATATATATTCTTGATCAGGGCGACGAGCTGAGTCGATTGGCCCTGTCCGCCTGTCTGTCTGTCCGTCCGTCCGTATGTATGAACGCGTCGATCTCAGAAGATATAAGAGCTAGAGACTAGGTCCGTGTATATCACGCGCATATTGATAAATATCAATAGCTACGCCCGATATTTTATTATCGATTAAAAAACTTTATCGACCGCTAGTTATTTAATTGTATCTCCTACACCTTTAGAGCTTCCAAATTTTAAATGTAGACTCATACGTATTTTATACAATTTCGGTTTTTGTTAAAATGTACCCCCACCGCCCTCACCATCACCTTTGTAAAAGGCGTATTTCAAATACTAGAGACTTATGCTTTGGCAAATACATGCATATCCATGTTATTATCATAATAATAATAGTTTCATGAAGAAAGTACATCCACAAGAAAAGTTATTAAACAATTCAGTTCTCATAGAAAGTGCACACTGCAGCCCATGCGTGATTAGGCGTGGGTGCTTGTGTGCGTGTATGTGTATGTGTGTGTGCATGCGTGTGTGTGTATGCATGTGTGTATGTGTGTGCGTGTGTCTTGTGCAATCAGAAAGACGCAAAAAATGATTGAAATAGCTATTGCTCGAAGGGTTCAGGGGATCTCGTAGTCAAGCAGTCTCGACTAGAGCTTTCTTACTTGTTTAATGTGGTACTCGATTAATCCCAGTGGGCAAAATGGGATGAGAATTTTTAACCCTTTCACATGTGCATAAATATGCAGGTCAATTTGACCCTTTTTTAAAAGATGCATATGTACATATAAATGTCAAAATTACCCTTTTTACAAAAATTGCATACGTAAACAGTCCAAATTGACCCTTTCAAAAAGAGGCATCCGTTACATGTCATAACTGTTTATAATAAATAAATACAAGAAATGTGTTTCATAGGTTTTGTGTTTTATATATATTTACATACTAGTTGTCCCGGCGAACTTCGTACCGCCCAACAGTCTCTATATATATAAAACAAAGTAGAGTTTCTTACAAAACTTATAATTCGAGATCTGCTGCACCAATTTTCATGGTTTTTGATTTGTTGGATTTGTCTCTGCCCCGAATTGGAAACAGGCATTGTATTTTTGAGTGCTCGCTAGAAAAGTAGGGAACGCAATGGGTCTGGTGGCGGGACCACTAATGGCAATGTCACTTTACCACTAAGGCAGCACAAACCGGGCGTTTCACCAGCAAACTTCAATGCGCCACAATGCTGGCAAACAACGTCCATTGGACCAATGCAAACTAAACGATTCAAGCTATAGTCAATGGTGCAATCATATCGAAACGCTTCTCGATTCAAATCAATCCTTGAACCATTTCTTATTGCCATTTCACGGGCTGCCTCTCTTTGAGAAGCACGAATTAAGGCCCTTCTTTGCTGGGTACTAACGCGGAGCCTTTCTCGGGCGATTTCTCGCTCTTCGTCAGATAATTGACTCGCGATATTCCGTTGCCGAATTGCATTATGGGTCCGCCGGGAAAGATTAGATCTTCTAGGACGCGGCATTTTTATTAATAGTAATACTGCCCTCGCACAAAACCATATAAAAACAATCGAGAAATATAAATATAAATAATTTACACAAATTTATGTTTGAGACAAACAAATACCTGAACATTCGAGATATTTAGCTTTTGTACGCACGCGCACAATTATTATTTATAAAGTTTAAAAGTCCAAAAGTATAAAAAGCCAAAAATACACTTTTTAATAATTAACTTCTTTTTTTTTAATTTCGAATTTTGAATTTTTTATTTATTTTTGATTAGTCAGGTTTTAATCTTTTGATTTTTTTTTAATTTTTGCAGATTTTTGATTTGAAATATTTATAAAGTTTAAAAGTCCAAAAATATAAAAAGCCAAAAATACAATTTTTAATAATTAACTTTTTTTTTTTATACCCTGAACCCATTTTCAATGGGAAATCAGGGTATAATGGTTTTGTTGAAATGTATGTAACAGGGAGAAGGAGGCGTGGCAGACCCCACAAAGTATATATATTCTTGATCAGGGTGACGAGCTGAGTTGATTTGGCCCTGTCCGTCTGTCTGTCCGTCTGTCCGTCTGTCCGTCCGTCCGTCTGTCCGTCTGTCCGTATGTATGAACGCGTCGATTTCAGAAGATATAAGAGCTAGAGACTTCAATTTTTTTTTAAAATGTCCGTAATTACAGCGCGCATATCAAGTTTATCATTAAAAATCGATAACTCATCCCGATCTTTTTTATCGATAAAAAACCTTATCGAAACCCAGTTATAAAATTATATCTTCTACACCTTTATTGCTAGAGTCTCCAAATTTTTAATGTATGCTTATATGCAATTTATACAATTTCGGTTTTTGTTAAAATTTACCCCCCACCTCTAAATTCACCCCCTCACCCTCACTTTTGTAAAAAGCGTATTTCAAATACTAG